TACATACATATATATCAAATAAGCATACCATCATCCTAGGATTTAGTAACTATTCTATTTGAACATTAAATTGAATTCTGAATTTGTGGACAACCAGTGAAAAGGGAAATATTTCTGTCATCATCATATATAATTAGAAGAGGCAAACTACTTTTTTCTGAATTCTAAAATTTATTAGCATAGGTCAACTTTTCCCAAATTTAAATGCAGAATATTAGTCTTATCAAATATTAACAAATATCAGGATGAAGTTTAGGAAACAATGGACTATATAAGATAAACAGACTTATTTATATTTTTCTCGTGACTTTAAATATCTCAATATATATCTCGATTCTCTAAGAGAAAGATCTGTTTCCCTAACTTATTTTGTCTTGAAATACCCTGTTAGTGAACACAAGCTTTGCAAAATGTTGGCCTGAGTCCATAAACGTGATGGATTGTGTATCTTCCATATGTTTCTGTAGATGATATCATAATTGCCTTCCTTTTTTGGGAGACAGAGTCTTGCTTGATTGCCTTGGCTAGAGGTGCAGTGGTGTCATTGCAACCTCAAACTCCTGGGCTGAAGCTATCCTCCTGCCTCAGTCTCTTGAGTAGCTGGGACTACAGACAGGTGCCTGCCACCACGCCCAGCTAATTTTTCTATTTTTTGTAGAGATGGGGTCTCACTCTTGCTCAGGCTGGGCTGGAACCCCTGACCTCAAGTAATCCTCACACTTTGGCCTCCCAGCGTTCTAGGATTACAGGCATGGGTCACTATGCCCGACCTAATTGACTTTTTTTTTTCCGTAATTGCTTTTTTAAATCAATACATAATAGATGTACATATTTTCAGGGTACATGTGATAATTTCCAGTATCCGTACATATACATTCTCAAAGATCGAATCAGTGTCTTGGATGTCTATCACCTTAAATATTTATCTTTCTTTTGCTAGAAACATTTGAATTATTCTTTTCTAGGTATTTTGAAATGTGTAGTAGCATTATTATAAACTATAGTCACTACTGATCTATTGAACACTAGGCCTTTTTTCTTTTATCAAACAGTATATTTGTACCATTAATCAAATTCTCTTCATTGCCACTCACCCCCAACTACTTCCTCTTCTTGGCTTCTGGTAACTACCAGTCTAGTCTCTATCTTCATGGAGATACACTTTTTTAACTCCCCTATATGAGCGAGAACGTGTGAGATTTGTCTTTCTGTGTCTATCTTATTCACTTAACATAATGGCCCCATGTTCCATCCATGTCGTTGCAATGATGGGTTCTTTTTTATGCCTGAATATTCCATCGTGTATATATGCCACTTGTTTTAATCTGTTCATTGATTCATGGGCACTTAGGTTGATTCCATATTTTTGCTATTGTGACTAGTGTTGCAGTAAATATGGGAGTGCAGATATCTGTTTGATATATTGATTTCCTTTCTTTTAGATGTATACCAGCAGTGAAATTGCTGAGTCCTATAGTAGCTCTAATTTAGTTTTTAAGGAACCTCATACCTTCTCTGTAGCAGCTTATACTAACGTCCATTGTAGCAATACTGTGCAAAGTTTCCTTTCCTCCACATCCATCACAGCATCTGTTTCTCTTGTTTTTTTGATAGAACCATTTATACTGGAGCTAGATAATATGTTACTCGGTGGTTTATTGATGCCTGCATACTATAACATGACATAAAATTAGAAAACGATAAAATAATTCATATACACTATATGGACAAACCAATATAATATTCATATATATATGAAGAGAATAAGATCTATATCCAAAAAAATAATAATGCAAACCCCCCTTTCCCTCTTCCTCCCTCATCTCGACTTCTTCTTTCTTTCCTCTTTCGCTATCTCCGCTCTGCGTCTTCCTTCTCGAGCCCTTATATATCTCCATTATTAGCGCTCGCTTCGCTCAGCTGATACGCCCACCCCGCCCACTCCCTCTGTCCTCTCCTCTCTCTCATTCGCGCGTCTGTCTCTTCTACTCCTGTTCAACTTGTCTTCCTTTATTGTCAGCCACAAGCTTCTTCTATTTCTGATGTCCATTCTCCCTGCCTTGTCTTGCGGTTGTCTTGCTTTTGAACTCTTATACACACAACCATTTTTCTGCTACAATATCCCCAAGACTTCTCCCAAGTCTTCTCTCCTATGGCTTTCACAGGTTCCAGCGCTTAGCACTCTCCCCCAGCCTCTCCTCTCTTTCTCGACTCTAACCTGCCTTCGTGCTCACTGCGCAGCATCGCGGTTCTAACCTTCCCCTTCTTTTCTGCATTGGCCCTATCACCCAGTTCCACCCTTTCTAGCCCATTGATACTGAAACCGCAGACCTGATCCTCTTCCATTGTATGCTGTTGGCTGCCTTTGCTGGCAGAGTCTTACACGCTGGTGACACCGTAGATTTATCCCTTTGCACCTCTACTTACCTCCTCTGTTCCTTCGTCATCTGGTCCTACCTTTGTTCCTTTGTTTCTTGCCTCAGTCATGCTGGATTTGTTATGGTACTTTGTAGGTAAATCTTTAAGCAGGCGTGTATGTCATCTCATAGCTTTTTCGCTCAGGAATTGCTTTGGCCTATTACTGAGGTCTCCTTTGCGTCTAGCACTGTAACACATTTTACGGATATTTTCTACTTATACTCCATCTATGCCGACTCACAGCATTGGTATTTGATAGGATTGCATCATAATGCTTTTTATTTGTCTTTTCCTACTGTCTGACATTACAAGTTTTCTGTGACACCAGCCGGCCAGCTTCACTCGTTTATTTATCTTATTTAGAGACAGAGGTTCACTCGACCCGTTGTCTAGAGTGATGTGGCATCCAGTCTACCGCTCGACCAGCACCCTCAAACTCCTGGCTGAAGAGACCCTTTCTCCTTTTCCTCGCTCCCTGAGTCAGCTGAGGCGTCTCACTCTCTGTACCGCGCCGTCTGAACTTCCTAAGCTCAGAGCACTCCTTCTCGCCACATCAGCTCTCAGCTGCTAGGATTACCAGGCATCCGAACTGCTTCGCCATGAGCTACTCTCAGAAGCTTAGATATGTCTACCAGGATTGCTCCGCCTTTTGAAAGTGATGTGCAGCCCAGGGCCTTGGAGATTAAATACTTCCTGTTGTCTCTGAGCCTGCTGATCGCTTGTCTGGTCTAGGAGTCTCTCAGATATACGACGTCAGTCTAGACCACCGACGCTACATTCCTCCTCTCCTTTCTCTCACGCTGACCGCAACCTGACTCTCCACCACACTCTATCGGCTCGCCGTTTTTTGTCCGGTACTCTCGACCACCTCCCATCTCTCCTCTAGCGGGCCCCTGCTGGAACTAATTACTCTTTGCGACTGCTCTCTCTCTCTCATCACTCCCTCTACCTTTGATCTTCTTGTCTGGCTCCCCATGTTTTCTGCACTCATCTTCTTACCTTCATCGCTCCTCTACTTCACCTCTTCTACACAATCGTCCGTGCTCACTCTTCCTCTTTCAGCATCTTGTCTCTCCTCGTACCAAACTATCTTTCTTAATCAAATCAAGGCTTCCATATACTGCCACTGCTCTAGAACGTGCCCAACACCCCCCCCCTCCACGCCCTTCGCATCCTCCATTTCTATGTCTCCTCCTCATGCTTCCAGAATCTTGAACGATAAGAATTGAGTTCTCATCATTTTCGCCATTGTATGCTATAATATTCTGATACAACATAATAAACACAGAAAAACCACAAACAAAAACCGAAATATAATAGTAGAAATTATGAGATAGGAAATAATAATCAAATACACTCTGTACAATATAACAATGGTTAACAAAAAAAAAAAATCAGACATTATCATAATGCCTCTAAATATCATCTTAGCACAGACAAAAACAACTAAAACAAAAGTAAGATAAATATCATATATCGAAGCTCATACCATTCACATACTAACTAAAGATCCTTATATATATGCTAGCAATTTCTGTCATTCTTGAAAATATATGATACAGACATGATATAAAAAAAATATACATACGAATTACCCAGATTCCTTGTCATCTTTCTCTGGTAGCTACCTCCAATCTGTACTTTCATGCACTCTAAATCATATAGAGCTCACATATCTATCAATAAGCTGTAATCACAAGAAAAACAATAGAAATATCATATATATATAACACTGCTGTGGGAATCAGTGATAGATAACTGAACAATCAAAATCCCGCGATGCACAGATGATTACACCAGAAGATACAAACTAAAAAATCATTCCATAGATGGGTTTAAGAGAGATAAAAAAAGGGGAGAATAAATACTTGTGAGGAGACTGATCGCTATTAAAAAATATTTTAGTTTTTATTTATTTATATATATATATTATATATTATATTTTTCTTTTAATGCATAATATATATATACTATTCCTTAGTTTTTAGTCATCGAATGAGAAAACATTATACCTGATTATTCTATCTGGCCTACTACTCCCATAGATAACTGGATTCAAAGATAGGGATTTACGCTGTCTTTTAAACTGATAGTGTGGTAGAGCGGCTTCTGAGTCTGGCGTAGTTTTGGGTCTGGCATTTTGCAATCAGTTACTGTTTTCACTGTGTTATTTGAAAGTGTAGAGAATAATACCTAACATATATAGTTTTTGAGCCAATAAAATGCAATTATATATGTGTGTGTCTTCTACACTTTAGAAGACTTGATGTTTAAGATCTAGTATAAATTAGAGAACTGTTCTCTCAAGATGGGTTCATAAGGTTGTTCCAGGACTTCACACTGTCTCCATAAAAAAAACTTAGATTTCCCTATACACTTGTGTTTTCTATAGGAAATGAAAAAAACATTCAAAAGTTGTTTGTGGTATTAATACTTTAATCTGTATAATAGAAAGATGGACTCTACTGAGCATTACTCCACAAAGATGTCTTAAGTCTAAGGAAGACCAGTTTAACTGTTACTTTTTATGACCCTATTTTTGATTATACTATAATATTACCTTTATAATGTTTCATCTACAGGTACATGATGTTGATTGATGGCACAAATGAAGTTTTTATGATTGATAGGGACAATTCAGTGTTTCATGTTTCAAATCTCGAATTTCCATATCGTAAAGATCTCCGGATGCATTTATCAAATACACTCTTAGATGGGGTAAGTCCTATTTTTATATATATTTGTATATACTTTTTTGTTTTTTAAATTAAATATTGTTAGTTTTCTTTTTCTTGTAAGTAAATGTATGTTTTTATTATAATGGTTAGAATTGAATCTAATTTTTATTAGGCTGTTAAATTTCATTTATTTCTTACTTACACTTAGATTGAATCAAGTTCCTTTTAAAGAAGGATCTGCCAACTTAATCTTTGAACATAAATAAGATTTAGAGATTTTTTTAGTGGATAAAGTTGTTAAACATGGAAAGGGAGTTAAACGAATTCTGTATTGTTCATTGTTGTTCATTATGAGAAAAAGTGAACAAAGTTAAATCTTAATTTGTTTTCTTTGTGATTGAAAAAAATAATTCTTGGTGGAAAAAGATGAATTATATTATGTTATTTTACTTTTCAGTTGTATTTTAATTATGTAATATTAAATAATCACATTTTCCCCTTGCTGTTTAGACTATACATCCTTGTTTAAAGAAAATCATGCCTTTAAGAGCAACCACTGTTACTTTTACATTTGAATTTTTAAAGTTTATAAGAATTTTCCCATTCCAGAAAATCTGTATTTAGTAATCATAAAGTTAATTGATTAAAATTATTTTAACTTTCTCCCATGCTAATAACTTTCCCCTCCCTAATTCTAAATATACTGGGTCATTTAAATAAAAATTGAAATAATGCAGAACACTACAAAAAAGCTGGTAAAAACTACTTAAACTCCTAATGTTAGGGTAATATCTATTACCATTTTGATGACCATTAGGGTGCTCAATCTGACATCTGTTCTTGAAGGATATAGCACCTTTATATTAGTAATAGCAACCTAAAGCATAGATTTTTCAATAGAGATTATGTCAGAATCTTTAGGGAAGTTAGGGCCTCATTTCAGTCCCAGAAAAATGCTGAATGGTCATAGTACCTCTATCCTAGTTGAAAATGAGTGCTCTGGTCAAATATGTACATATGTGGATAATGATATTATTTTGCATGAGGAGAACCAAGTGTTATATGTGTTTTGTAATTTGTCATTTTTGCCACTTAGCAATTCATTTTGGACATCTTTTTCACATGAATGTCTGAATGGCATACTACTGTATATATAAACACTGTAATTTGGGGTTTCCAAACTATCTTGACTGTGAAAATTGTAGGGTTAAAAAATTGCCTGTTTAAAAATATGACCTCTCCAAGTAGCCCATCCTAGGCCTCATGAATTGGTATCTCCAGGGGCCTATGTGTCTTTGCAGGTGACCAAGTGATTCTCATTAGGCATGTTTGATAAACAGTTATGAAATTTATTTGACCAGTCCTCCTTTGGTGTACATTTTGATTTTTGTATTTTTTGTTTCTAGTAAATTTTCATTTCTATGACAGTGTGTATAATAAAATATTTTTATTAAAAATGCAATATACATATATGTACATGGTATCTATGTCTGCCTATCTCTGACATTATAGTTGATGTGACTGGCATCTCTGAAGTTGTGTAGTCTGTGTAGTCTATAAACATCATAGCCATTTGTGGCAGCTCTGGTAGTTGGTCCATGGGAATAGCAGAAACGCTAGTTTTTGTTGCCTTTGTTTTATTTAAGGTATAGTTTTTTAAAGCATTATAACTAATACAATACAAGGCAGAAAAACTCTTAAGTAACAGCATCTGTCAAAGTTTAATATAGTTTATAATTGAACTAATACTTGGTGAGTGCCTATCATGTGCAGGTTGCTGTGCCAAGAGTAGTACAGACATTGCTTACAGGGTTGAGGAGAAGGCCTTACTGTTGAGACATTTTATATAATTGGGTAGGGTGGATTGGTAAGAAGAGACATTCAAGCAATAACCGAAAGAGAGGTATTTAAAGCAAGTCCTATGGTAGTTTAGAGGAGAAATAAATCACGTATAGTTAGTCAGAAACTAAAGATGTTTTATGTAGGAGTTGGCATTAGAAGTGGAAAGATTTCTTATAGAAAGAGATGTTTGTTGGACATGGACTGAGGGCATTCCAGGTAGGAAATAATGCTTAAGGATTAGATGTTTAACCATCTGCAGATTTAACTTAGCAATACTATTTATTTTCACCCCAAACTTGGATAACTGGAGAGCAGCATAATAGATTCTTGTGAAGTTTTAAAATAGCAGTATGATTCATGATGTCAATTTACTTGGGCTAGAATTATAGTTGCCATATCTGTTTTTTTCAGTTAGTTAATTAAAACAGTCCTGTATAGTTTCCTGTTTCTTCTCCATTTTCATTTGCAAATTGTTTTTGTAAAATTCCAAATCCAAGAATAACTCAAACCACCTAATTGTCTAACTGTGAGATGTGAGCATTGAAGCTTTTATTTTGCTCTGGTAAATTATGTTCCTTGACCTACAAAATGTGGAAACTAGGAGTTTAGAAATATGGCATTAATTCACTTGTAACACTTCAGTGAAATTTAATCACTTTAATATTGAGGCTAAGAGAAGGATATAGAAGTTAATCATTAAAGTTAATAGCAAGAATCTTAGAAAAATCGAGTCTTTCGATTATCAATTTTTTATAAAAGGATACACATGCTCATTGTTAAAATTTTAGAAAGTCTGTAAATTGTAGAGAAAATTCAACAATCAAGAAGAGATTGCATTTTAACATTTTGATGTATTTCCTTTTTTTGTGCCTATATTTATATAACATGTATAATCAGTATGTACATAGCTGACAATATGTGTTCTGTATCTGGGGTTCCATTATTTCCTTTCATTCTGAAGAACTGCTTTTAGGATTTCTTTCTTTTAAAATTTATTTATTTTTAAAATTGAGATATAATTCACATACTGTAACATTTACGTTTTTAAGGTGTTCAATTCAGTGGTTTTTAGTATATTCACAAGACTATGCAACCATTGCCACTATCTAATTCTACAACATTTCATCACCTAGATGAATTGTGATAATTAGAAGCCAGTTGGCCTTGTACAGAGATTTCAAGGAATGGGTTACAGCTGTGGTCCCCAACCCCCAGGCTGTGGCCTGATAGGAAATGGGCACACATCACCACCTGAGCTCCGCATGACATCCCCACGACACTCTGCCCCCTCATCCCCAGTCCGTGGAAAAGTTGTCTTCCATGAAACCAGCCCCTGGTGCCAAAAAGGTTTGGGGAGTGCTGGGTTACAGAGATGAGCCTTGAAGGTTCACAGGTTTTCCAGAGAACAGTTAATAAAAGGAAGGAGATAACTTTCTCTCATTGAAACCCTGTAGTGGTTCCCCTTGCCCAAAGGATAAAGGCCAAACTGCTTAACAGAATACTCTATAAATCTGGAGCATGCCTCTGTATTCAGTCTCATCTTTTATTGTGATCCTTAGCTATAAATTCTACCTGTACTGAGCTTTGGACAATTTACCCCAAACATCTTTTTTTTTGTGCCTTTGTTATACCATTTGGCCCATCCACCATGCTGCTGGAAAATATTCTCTTCAACTTTCAGGACTGAGCTAACAGTCATGTACCTTATTATCAAACTTTTTGTTATTCTTCAAGTAGAAGTAACTACTCCTTCTACTTAGACTTATACCAAATGTATCCTAAATTGGCTAGTATAGGACCAGATATACACCTGTCTTAGTATAATTATTAATAGCAATTTGTTTCATAGTATCCTGATTTGGACAGTAGGCTATAGGGTTATTCTATTTATATAGTCATCTATCATTAAAACTATAACTCTTCATTGGACCTAATTAGTTATATATTTTTCTCTCTTTTTGAGACTCTAAATCTCTTGAAGGTAGACACTGTATGTTATGTTTATTTCTCCAGTACTTAGAGCTATGCCTAATTCATAGATTGGGCTCAGGAAATACTGGATGAGCAGGCAGGATTGGGTGCCTGGGGACTTTCATTATGGAAAAGTACACAGGGTAGGAAAGTAAACTTGCAGAATTATTTATTTTTTTGGTAGGGGCTATAATGAAGCGTTCAAGTTTCAGATTTCTCCATGGCAACATTTAATACAAAAGACAATGGAGCAATTTCTAATAAGTTCTTGAGGGTTATAGAGTTGATGTGCCTTGATGTAGTTTCCTTCAGGATTCTTGTGCTTGGGGTTTATTGTGCTTTAAAAAAGACTGTGGGTTTACAGTCTTCATCAGAAGTAAAAAAAAATTCATTATTTCTACCCTTCCCCTCTTTAAGATCTAATTACTAATGCTGTTTTCACTTTGTAAAAAATCTATTTTCTTTCATATTTCATTTTGGATGGTTTCTATTACTATATCTTCATTTGCATTAGCAAGATTACTTTTTTTCCTGCACTGTTTCAACTGCTATCAATCACAACCACAGTATTTTTCAATTCAGATATTGCTGTTTTTACCTTTAGAAATTTATTCTGATTCCTTTGTCATATCTATGTCCCTACTTAACTTTTGAATGTTTTTTTTTACTATGTATGAATATGTAGTAAGCTGTCTTAGCATTCTTGCCTGCTAACTTTAATAGCTCTGTCAGTTTTGGGCTTGTTTCAATTGATTTCCTCTTTTTTATAGCTTATATTTGCATGCCTGGCAATATTGATTGAATATCAGACTTTGTGAACTTTACCTTGTTTTGATTGCTGATTGTTTTTGTATTCCTAATAAATTTTCTTTAGCTTTGTTCTGGAATACAATTAATTTACTTAGAACTAATTTGTTCCTTTTGGGTCTTGCTTTTAAGACTTGTTAGGTGGATTAGAGTAGTATCTAGTCTAGGGATAATCCTAGGGATAATCCCCATTACTGAGACAAGATTCTTCTCATTACTCAATGACCTGTGAATTATGAGATTTTCTAATCTGTTTGGTGGGAACAGGTGTTATTTTCATCCCTGTACTGGATAGCAGGCACAGTTCCCCCCTAAGACTTTTTAGTGGTTCTTAGTTTGGCCTTGGGTAGTTTCCTCACATGTCTACACTGATTGGTACTCTGCTGAATATTCAAGGGGGTCCTTCTGCAGATCTCTGGAATTCTTTCTCTGAGGGCAGCTGTCTGTCTCTTTTATACTCTGCCCAGAGTAATTCTAACAGCCTTGGTCTCCCTAGACAGCCTGTTTCATTTTCTCAACTCAGGGAGACCACTAGGCTCCACTTCTGATCCCCCTGCCTGTGCCAAAGCCTGGAAAATGTCCTTAGGTCAATGACATGGGACAATTGTAGGGCTCATCTAGTTTGTTTACTGCCCCTTGTTGCCAAATATTCAGTGTCTTAAAACTCATTGCTTCATGTATTTTGTCCATGTCTTTAGTTGTTTCAGGCAGGAGAGTAAATCCAGTGCCTGTTATACCATTTTGGTTGCAAAGGGAAGTTTGATTTTACTTGTTAACTACTTTTTTTTTAATTTAAAATTTTAATAGTAATTAAAAAAACATGTAACATAAAATTTATTATCTTAACTATTTTAAGTATACAGTTCAATAATGTTAAGTATATTCACATTATTGTACAATAGATCTCAGATTTTTCATTTTGCAGAACTGAAACTTTGCACCCATTAAATAGCACTTCATTCTATCCTCCCCCCACCTCCTGGCAGTCATCATTCTACTTTCTGTTTTTGTGTATTTAACTACTTTAGATACCTCATTTAAGTGGACCCAGACAGTCTTTGTCTTTTTGTGACTTGTTTCTTTTACTTAGTCTAATATCCTCAAGGTTCATTCACATTGTAGCATATGACAAGATTTCCTTCCTTTTGAAGGTTGAAATAATATTCTGTTATACATATATACCCACATTTTGTTTATCTATTTATCCATTGATGGACATTTTGTTGCTTTCATTTCTTGACTATCATGAATAATGCTGCAGTGAATATGAGTGTGCAGATACCTCTTTGAGAACCCTGCTTTTAGTTCTTTTGGACATAATACTCTGAATTGGGATTGTTGGATCATATGCTAGTTCTCTCTTTTTTTTTTTTTTTTTTTTGAGACAGAGTCTTGCTTTGTTGCCCCGGCTAGAGTGAGTGCTGTGGCGTCAGCCCAGCTCACAGCAACCTCAAACTCCTGGGCTCAAGCCATCCTACTGCCTCAGCCTCCCGAGTAGCTGGGACTACAGGCATGCGCCACCATGCCTGGCTAATTTTTTCTATATATATTAGTTGGCCAATTAATTTCTTTCTATTTATAGTAGAGACGGGGTCTCGCTCTTGCTCAGGCTGGTCTCGAACTTCTTGAGCTCAAGCAGTCCTGCCTCGGCCTCCCAGAGTGCTAGGATTACAGGCGTGAGCTACTGTGCCCGGCCTGCTAGTTCTCTTTTGAATTTTTTTGAGGTAACTGCCATGCTGCTCTCCATAGAGGTACCATTTTACAATTTTTAATGGTGTACAAGGTTCCAATTTTCATAACTTAAATTTAAGATTATGTATTTTATCTTTACCTACTTTTCTGTAGGACAATGGTGGCAGTTGTAGCGAAGGAGATGTTGTTGGTGGTGGATCATTGGGAAAAACTCAGATATTCCCAATATTTTGGTATTACCACCTTAGGTATTAGTTTTTGTTAGAATCCATGGGTTCTGTTCTTTCTTAAGAACTTCTGGTCTTCACTTAGTTTGGAGCCATATTTTATTCCCATAATGTTCAGATAATTTCTCCAACTCAGTGTGAATTCCTGGAGCCTTCACTTCACAGTGTTCAGCTATTTTAATTACTCATCAGTCAGAAGAGGGAAAAGAGAGAAAGAAACCACTGAGTTTGTTTTGTTTATATTTGATTATAATAGTGAAAATTATCAGGAACTTGTCATTTTATAAGTAGAGGTTTAGTGGGCTTTGAACTGACCAGCTGTGCCTTTTTGTTTTACCAGAATCTTGGTAGTTTCCTTGCTGTAAATTTTTAAAGCTTATCATTTGGTTTTTCTTTTATACCTGCTTTGTTTGCTGATAATAAATTTTCTTTTTGGCTTTTTAAAATAATGCGTAAAGGGAAACATGTTCTTGCTCATTTCATCAGGCCATTTGGGAAGGAAAATCTGTGATGTCTCCTATCTGAACCTGGATGTCCACTTAATTTCCAATCACACATTTTTGAAAAGAATAATTAATTGGAACCTATTGCTATCACCTTGTTAGTACATAAAATCCTCAGATACAAGTATTTAAATAAAAATATTTCAACAAACAGTTTAAAATAGCAAACATGATTTAATTTACATCAGGTTTTGTGTGAAAGATGATACCTATAAGTAAATGTCTGTTGCTTAATAAACTCATATTTAGGAAAGAAATTAATCGGTAATGATTTATTATAACAACAAAATATATTTTTCCTAAATCAGTGTGTTCTTTATAATTGTAGATGATTGTGTGTAGATTTTCTGTCATGAAATTAGATAGCAAGAAACCTTCCCACTTTCCTAAGAAGAATATGAGGGGAAACAAAATTTTAGGCCAAAAACTTGTGAAGAATTAAAATTTTATAAAATACTACATTATACACCCATAATCATCCTTTAACACCCTTATCTCTTTCTGTCAGAGTGCAGAATTTGTTTTGACTTCTTAATGCTTATTGTAGATTTGCAGTGATTTGTTTATACTCTCTTACTCTTGCTCCCTTTGATCAAAGTCTAGTAAAGCAACATGAAACCAAGAAAAACCACATGGGTCACATGGAAATTAAATCTATAATGAGGGTACCATTTATAGTTGTAGATTTTTTGGATTAAAGTAATTGGCATATAACAAAATTTAAAGTGATAATGATTAAACAAAATTTATTTTTAAAAATGACTGTAACTTTTAGAATTTAAAATTTATAGTCTCTTTACTGTAATTGTTGTCTAGTAATTCAAACAATACAGAATGTAGCATAGTAATTCAGATATAAAAAATATAATGTGATAGTGTCATGATTTTATTTCAATATAGAATAAATACATGAAAGGGATTTTTTAGGGGGCTGATAACTTTACTGATTTGATCTGGGTACAGTGTGTTTTTAAAATTTCATCAAGTTGAATATTTATGATTTATGTGCTTACTGTGTATATGCTATATTTCAGTCAAATTAAAGAAATTACTATTAAAGTATGAAGAAACTTATCTTCTTTTCTCTTTCAAGGAAATGATTATTGACAGAGTAAATGGACAGGCTGTTCCTAGATATTTGATATATGACATAATTAAATTCAATGTAAGTATATTTTATAATTTATAAAATAAAAATTGTCACTGAAATAATGGATTTTTTTTTAAAAACAAATAGAATATTATTGCCTCAGAGTAGGAAAGAAAAATTGGGACTCAACTGTTTACTCATGGGATATCTTTTTGTTCATATTTTTATATCTCCTTTTATTGCCTAATATTTTGCATATTTCTTTGTCTTTAGGTTTCTTTAACTTCAAGTAAAGAAAAAGCTTGATAAAATAAGACAGCATTTTGTAAAATGGAAATTTCTTGGTTTTAATTATCTTGTACTTGATTTTAAAACGCCTGGAAGTTTGATTTCTGTCACTAAAACAACAACAAAATGGAAGAGAACGTGATTATGAAGTGTTGAATGCATAATAAATTACAGTATTAAGAGTCAGGATTACATTAATCCAAGTTACTTAAAGGCTTTCTTTTCCTGGAAAATTTCAATGTAAAGATATCATTTTTTGATTGAATCTGCATATTTCAAACATAGTTTCAGATTTAAGAGCCTCAAGGCCAGAAAATATCAAGTTTTCATTTTGTTCTGTTTGTGACTACTGTATTCCTCAAAAGTAATGCTTTTCAGAATTGGCTTAATCTTATCACACATCTTGGGATAACATTTATTGGCCTGTAACTAGACAGAAGGGGGTGAGACTGGCTTTGATTTTTTGTGAATAGAGAAGTGCTGTGTCCTTTGCCTCTTGATATTGAGCTCTGCTGTGTTCAGTGTGGTCTCACTTCTCAGTCTGTGAGCTGTGTCTTAGATTACAGCCTTCTAATACTTTTTAAAAAATATGAAAAATTTCAGCATACAAGAATATAAGGAATACTCATATACTGACCCCCTAGATGTTTTTTGGGGTGAGGGCAGGAGGTGCAGAGTCTTGCTCCGTTGCCTGGGCTACAGTGGCATCATCATAGCTGACTGTAACCTCAAACTCCTGGGCTCGAGAGATCCTCTTCCCTTAGCCTTCTGAGTAGCTAAGACTATGGGTGCATGGCATCCTGCCTGGCTAATTGTTCTATTTTTTTGTAGAGACAAAGTCTTGGTCTTGGTCTTGCTTGCGTTGGTCTCAAACTTCTGGCCCCAAGCAGTCCTCCTGCCTTGGCCTCCCTACGTGCTAGGATTACAGGCATGAGCTACTGTGCCTGACCAATCTTTTTAATAAATAATTAATTATAAATCCAGTAGAAGTGTTTGAATACACCTCTCTCGTCCTATTTTCATTTCTCTTGCCCAGAAGCAACCTTTACTCTGAATTTGGTGTTTATTATTCCATGAATGTTTTAAATATTTTACTATTAATACCTGTGTGTGTATCCATGAAATACATGTGGTATTCTTCTGTAGGGTTTCTAGTGTTATATAAATGTCATTATACTGTGCTACCCACCATTTGCTTCACGTTACTTTATTGAGATTTATCTGTGTTAATGCTGTAGATGTAGTTCATTCACCTTAATTACCATTGAGTGTTCCTTTGTATAAATATATTCAAATAAATATAACAAAGAAGAATTTATCTTTTTTCCTTTTGGTAGATATTTGTATTTCCATTTTTTGGTAATATATTACTACTGCTTGAACAATTGCATATATTTTTCCTTGTGCATATGTATGAAATTTCCCTAAGACATTCATTCTCATTCTTGGGATGTAATTACCTGGAAGGTGTTTTTAAAACATCCAATCTCTCATCACTACATCATGGAGATTATGATTAAGTTGGCAACCTTAGCTTCGTTAGCTGCATTACTAAATTCCTCTCATAGTTGTTACAATTTGCTGCAGTTGGCTTTACCAAACATTTAAATTTTTGACACTTTGATGTGTCAAATGGTATCTCATCCTTTTTTAATTTGCTTTTCTCTAATTACTAATGAGGTTTAAGATATTTTATATGTTTATTTTTACTTTTACTGTTTTTTTCCCCCTGATTACTAATGAAGTTGAACATATTTCATAGGTTTATTTTTATTTGTTTGTATTTTTATTTTGTCATTTAATTGAAAGTTTGTATAATCTGATTTTTCTATTTGGTTGTCTATCTTTTTTTCTTATGTAGCAATCTGTTATCTTTTCTGGATTCTAGTCCTTTTTCGGTTATTGTTTCGGCAAATAATAACTTTCCCAAATCAGTGTTTATTGATGCAGAGAAGCTTTTGATTTTAATGAAGTCAACTTAGACCTCAAAGATTGTGCTTTTGTGTCTTGTTTAAGAAATTCATCCATATTCTAAAAATGATTAACTTAGGCTTTTTGTCTTTAGATCAATAGTTGTTTATTCAATACCTATTTCTTGTGTGCCTCTTACCATATTTCATATTGTAAGGTCAAATATTTTTTCACATTTCTGATATTGGAATGCATTTATAATTGAAAGCTTCATATTTAGTTCTTTAATATACAATGGAGCCTTCATGGATAATTAATCATGTTGTTTATTTTGTTTAACCAAGTCAAGGCCACTATTAGGAAAAAAAATTTATTTTTTTGAAATAATAATTAAAAATCTTTTTAGTCCCCTAGCTTATTATTTTGTTCAGGAAGAATTTCATTGGTCATATTTTGTAAGTCAAGTACTGTTCTAGGTATTGGGTATATAGAGACGAGTAAGACATAATTTCCTGCCTTTAAGGAATCCTTGTTAGTGCACTCACTGGCTTCTGAAAAAGGCCATTTCTGTAGCACTTCATTGGGGTTTGGGAAGAACATAGGAGTACTTTTGTTTATTTTAAAAATATATTTATTCTACTTTTATTTGTTTTATAACATATAGCCATACATTTATTAATAAATTAATAAAATAATTTAATAAATTATTAAAAATTAATATGCATATATTATATACATTTATTAGAATATATGTTTAGAGTGGGTATAAAATCAAAACAAATTTGCAGACTGCTTTTCTGGATGAGAATATAAATGTAAAAAAATATAATATTTCTTAATTATAACCACAAAGGTATATAATAAAAATAGTATTAGACCTCTTCCCTGGGTATAGTTGAGTTATTGAAGCATGGACTTGCAGACAGTGAAAGTGACACAAATTAGTTTTAAAAGATTGAGTCATGGAGGTCAGGAGCATTAGATGTTTGTTAGCATAATTGATGTGTGGTGAGTTGTGGGACATAGCAGAAAATGAGAATGGATTGGTGAATAGGGGCCCAGGTTACTTGAATAGCTTAGTTGTGTATGTAATAGAGCACTATTGAAGGGTTTTAGTTAGGCTAATGATATGAATATACTTTTATTGTTTTTGAAAGATATTAATACTCCAGTGGCAGCATGGATAGTGTTTTGAAGTGAGGGAGAACTGAAAACAGAGAGGCCAGGTAGTCAGTGGTAATTTAGTGTTTTCCCTAGTCTATTCTCAGTGATTTAACACCAATCTATGGAGAGCTTCTTTGCCTAGAGGCATTGTGGTTTTGAAGGTGAACTTGCTTTCAATCTATTCTTGTTCTTTTGTTGAATTTATATATGAAGGTGGAAAACATCTTGGAGGGAATTTAGACTACTAACTTATCTTTTAATAGTTGTTAGACTTTTTATTTTCTTTCTTAGGAAATAAAGGGCTTGCTTGTTCCACTTTAATTTTGTAGATGTCTGAATTCCTCTGATAGGTCTAATAAACAAGCCTAACATTTTAGGTTTTTCAACCTTGTTGATGATGTAGGTTGAATAGAAAAGATCACACATGGACTGTGTGGTTATTTAGTAGCATTTCCTCAATAAATACTCTTTACAGAGAATTGTATGCCTTTATTTAAAGAGAACATTTTCTACCTCATACCTAGCTCTCGCACACTTTTTCTTATACCTCATTCTTTGCTGTGTCTCAAAGTTGTTATCCTTCCAAAGTTGAGGAAAAGACATCCCTGAAGCTTATCTAATGTTGTTCACTACTTACATGCTACCACCTGCATGTAAACATTAGGTTGGGTAAGTATTAGGTTGGAGAATATATAATAGATTGGAGAAGAGGAAGATGACAGAAAAGATGGGAAAAATGCATGGAAGGATGTCCAATAGTAAAGTAGAAAAGAAGAGTTGTTTATATGCTATTGAGATGATGCTTAGCAATCTAGATGATGACTGTCAACCAGTTGATTTGTTGCAACTGTGTTCATGTTTACCATATGGATAGAGCAAGCCCCCACCCTCACCTCATATAAAAGGGTACATGCATTTTATATTTCATGGTTCAGACGTACCATAGATGCTTTAGGAACAATGAAGGGAAAGTTTATTGGGGAGAAGAGAAGAAAACTTAATTTTTTTTATAACTGTATAACTTTGAACATATTATGTGAATTTTTCCTGTATTAGTTTTTAGAGTTGAGGATGTATTACATTGGTCTAATAGATGTCTTCTATTTATTGATGCCTGTAAAGTGTTAGCACTTTAAACAACAAAAAGCATTGTATAATAAGTGACTGTGCTGCTTATTTTGATGTGTTATTTGATAGTTCTTTGTTGAATAATGTGGATTTTAGTTTTTATGTAGGTATTTTACTAATTTATATAAATGATAAGACTAATAGGTATATTAATTCAGATGTGAAATCTTGGGATCAACTTATAATACAGTAGATTCATGTCACTTTCCCATAGTGTTTTATGTAGTTGTAATTTGAAAATAAGTCTGTGTGTGTGTGTGTGTGTGTCTTTAGATGTTTCTCTCATTATTCAAACTAATTATTGGGGCTGGTATGTGTGGTTGTGCAGGCCGTGCACTAGATAACTCTAAAGGATGCTATTTACATAGGCTACTATATGATATATCTATTATATATTCTCCAACCTAACAGTTATCTAACCTGTTTACATACAGGTGGCAACACTTAAGGGGTGAACAACATTAGATAAGCCTCAGCTATTTACATAGACTACTGTATACTACTATATGGCAGCCTTGATAATTATGTTTATAAAATAGTTCTTAGTGTTGAAATTTAAATAATTGTCTCTTTAATTCAGGCACAGCCAGTTGGAGATTGTGATTTTAATGTTCGTCTGCAGTGTATAGAAAGAGAAATTATAAATCCTCGACATGAAAAAATGAAGACTGGACTCATTGACAAAACACAGGAGCCATTTAGTGTCAGAAATAAGCCATTTTTTGACATCTGTACATCAAGAAAGGTAAAGTTTACTTTTTTGTTTTCTAGTTAGTGCTTATAATTTATCATAATTTAGCTTGTGAGATGAATCTGAATGATGTTTTGCTGCCCAATTTTCTTGACTTTATCAGAAATTACTTGAATTGGATATAGCATTGTTTTCACCAACATGTATCATTCCCAGGCTTTTCTTTTTTGGTATGATTCTAAGTGGTAGAAACTTAAAATTTTGCTCTAAAAAAAATTAAAAGGTAATCACAAGCCAAAACGTGTTTGAAAGACTGAGGATGTACCTTCACAATAAAAGTAAAACAAGAAGTGTCCAGCTGAAATGTCAGAGACATCAACTGTCAAACTTAGTACTGAAGGAAATTGGACATTTCATACTTAATAACCTAATACATTTAGGTGCTCTATTTTTAATCTTAATTCCATTATGGAATTGTCTTCGGTTTTCATAGTCTATTTCTAACAGTTTCTTCTACTCAGTGTCTCTTCTTCATGCTGAGTTTCACATGAACATACTAATTCTGTTTATACCTCTTCTTCCTGTTTTCCTGCTCATTCTCTTCTCGTTCTGCTTATTATTTTATTATTACTTTTTTTTGAGACAGAGTCTTACTCTGTTGCCCTGGCTAGAGTGCCATGATGTCAGCCTAGCTCACAGCAACCTCAAAACTCCTGGGCTCAAGCAATACTTCTGCCTCAGCCTCCCGAGTAGCTGGGACTACAGGCATGCACCACCATGCCCGGATAATTTTTTCTATATGTTTTTAGTTGGCCAATTAATTTTTTCTATTTTTAGTAGAGACAGGATCTTGCTCTTGCTCAGGCTGGTTTCAAAACTCCTGACCTTGAGCAATCTGCCTACCTCGGCCTCCCAGAGTGCTAGGATTACAGGCGTGAGCCACCATGCCCGGCCTTCCCTTATTATTTTTAATACCACTAATATACTATTACTACAAGTACTACTATTATTACTAGTGCACTTTTGTTTTCACTAGGATGTTTACCATGCCCAACACTACTTACTTACTTACTTATTTTTATTTATAAAACCTAAAATTGAAGACATTAGTACCATATCTAACATTTAAAAGCAAGGTACCTTGGTGTTTCTGCTGTTAAGACAAGACATAAACAATTTCCTAAAACTTTCTCCATTTCTCATTAGTGCTTTTGGTGAGATTCTTTCTTTCTTTTCTTTCTTTCTATTTTTGCAGAGTCTCACTCCATCACTGAGCTAGAGTGAAGTACCATCATCATAGCTCACTGCAACTTCCAACTCCTGGGCTCAAGTGATTCTCCTGCCTTAGCCTCCAGAGTAGTCAGGGGTGCATTCCACCACACCTGGGCAATTTTTTATAGAGACAGGGTCTTGTTCTTGCCCAGGCTGTTCTTGAACTCCTGTCTTCAAGCAATCCTCCCATCTAGGTCTCCCAAAGTGCTAGGATTACAAGTGTGAGCCACTCTACCTGGCTATGTTTCTGAGTGTACAAATTATATAATGTGTTCTCCATCTTTGTTACATGTTAGGGTATTTGGTTCATTGAACCTGCATCTTAATATGTTTCTCTTCTCTGTCTTTCCCTTTTCCCTCTCTCTCCCTTTTATTATTTCTTAGCAGTTTTGAATATTTTTATGTCATTCTTGCTTTTGATAGGGGTTAACTTTCTTAGCAAACCTAATTATTAGTTCTCATTGGTTGGAAATACATTATCAATGATCATAAAGCTCCACTTTTCCTTGTCAGAATATAAACATGTTTTGAGCATGCATGCCATGTGGTTCTATACTTGATTGTGTGCTGATAAATATTTAAAACTTTTTAGAAGTTTTAGAAAGGATAAGGTGTCACATTTGGTATCCAAAAGAAGGCCAATTGGCTATTTCCTAAGAAGCTTCAAGGAATGATACACCTTTCATGAAATTTGTCAAAGTTCAGAATCAGGTTTGTAGCTTCACAGATTTAGAAACCTGGTCTGGGAGCCATTTTCTCTTTTTTCTATTTTTCTATTACAAATTAAATTTGTAGTTCAGCTTTTTAAGAGAATAAGCAGTATACTATATTATCAGTACTTTTACATTTAAATTGCACTTGACATCTAAGAAGTTGTATTCTGGTGGGATTTAAACCATTGTTTTATGACTGGCTTAGGGCATTTGAAGAATTGACGTCACAAGGAACCACTAAAGTCTTTTTATATTCAACACAGGGAATAGTAGCCATGAAATTAATATTTTTGTGGGGTGGAGTGGTTATGATAGAATTGTACAAGAAATATAGCAACATATATAATTATGTTTTAAACACTTGCTCCTGCTCAACTATGCTTATTAGCAGGAATCCTAGCATTGTTGATTGCCTTTTTCATCTCAAGAAATACAGAGTTATTCTACTTTTATTAATATTTTGTGTAACACTTGCTTGGCACGGGACTGTTGGTTGACCTCTGCTGCCATGATCTTCCTATTATTCACTGCTTACCTTTGTGTCTCTTTTGGCAGTGGGATGTTAAACAGGGGTGCCTACAAAAGCATGTGTACTACTGTGCCCTGTCTAATGGGTTCGGTAAAGATGATGTTAGCATGGGCCATGTCCATGGTGGAAATCTACTAACAGGAACTATATACTCTTATAGAAATATTTTCTAATTTGTAAATATAGTATAAAAGTTGGTCAAAAACCAAATTGCTTTGGTTTGCATTAGTTTTTTTAAAAAAACTAGTTTGAAAACTTGTGCTGTCAATATTCAAAGTCCAGCATTTAAGAACATGTGTCTTAGTATAATTCTGTGAATCAAAATCAGTGCTGCTTAGAAATATTTGCCAGTGGATGATATCAGAACTATTTTTTAGTAGGATTTGGAGTGGTTATGTGGAACAACTTTTCATGTAGTTTTTCAGTGGAAATACATGATACTCTTATTCTGTTTTTCTTTATACTTATATTACTCCTGGGATAACAGGTGTGAGCCTCCATGCTCAGCAATATTCTATTTTCTTTCTTTCTGGAAACAGGGTCTCACTTTGTTGCCCAGTGTGGAGTGGAGTGTCATGATCATACCTAGTTGTAACCTCAAATTTTGAGGCTCAAGTGATCCTCCTGCCTCAGTCTCCTGAATAGTTAGGACTACAGGTGCCTGCCACGCCTGGCTAATTTTTAAAATTTTTTGCAGGTTTCACTATGTTATACAGGCTGATCTTGAACTCCCGTTAAAGCGATACTCCTGTCTTGGCCTCCCTTCAAAGTGCTGGGATTATAGATGTGAGCTACCCCACCTGGCCAATATTCTTTTTTTTAAAAGCAATTCTAATATCAGTTCCCTCCTTGCCTTTTCAGTTCTTGCTATTGTTTTTTTGTCCTTAATTTCTCTTAACATGCTTTTAAAGGAAAACATTTTGCAGTAGAGTTGCTTTAAGGTTAAGACCTTAATAACACCAGTGATAGGATACTAACTACAGTTGACAGGTTATTACTGTAGAAATTTCTGTCTTTGCTAATGGGAATGGTAAAATAGTTTTATTATGAATGATAAAGCAGTTGTTAGGGAAGATAGGTCATTTCTTTAGGAACACTAGACTTTATGTAGTTTTAAACAAAATTTACACTGTTTTTGTAGAATGTAGTAGAATTTCATTTTTGTATATCTTTAAAATCTTCAATATAACTTTGGACTTTTTTTTTTTTTTGAGACTGAGTCTCACTTTGTTGCCTGGGCTAGAATGCCATGGCATCAACCTAGCTCAACAGCAACCTCAAACTCCTGGACTCAAGCAATCCTACTGCTTCAGCCTCCCGAATTGCTGGGACTACAGGCATATGCCACCATGCTCAGCTAATTTTTTATATATATACTTTTAGTTGTCCAGCTAATTTCTTTCTATTTTTTTAGTAGAGACAGGGTCTCACTCTTACTCAGGCTAGTCTCGAACTACTGAGCTCAAACGATTCTCCGGCCTTGGCCTCCCAGAGTGCTAGGATTACTGACGTGAGCCACCACGCCCGGCCTAGGACTTTATTAATATAGCTCTATTAACAACCTGTTCATTTTGTCTAATTTGATCCATCAAACACAGTGAAGGGATAATGAGCTGTTCAGTTTTTAACTTTAATATACATAGTTAGGCAGGGCACTGTGGCTCACGCCTGTAGACCTAGGACTCTGGGAGGCCGAGGCGGGTGGATCGATCAAGGTCAGGAGATGGAAACCAGTCTGAGCAAGAGCGAAACCCTGTGTCTACTAAAAATAGAAAAATTAGCCTGGTATGGTGGCACATGCCTGTAGTCCCAGCTACTCGGGAGGCTGAGGCAAGAGGATTTCTTGAGCCCAGGAGTTTGCGGTTGCTGTGAGCTAGGCTGATGCCACTGCACTCTAGCCAGGGCAACAGAGTGAGACCCTGTTTCAAAAAACAAAACAAAACAAAAACCAAAACTCTTGCAATACCTAAAACAGTGTCTTGCACCTAATCACATTACCTGAGGAAAAATATATTATAAAAATCCTACTCCGGGCTGGGCGTGGTGGCTCACGCCTGTAATCCTAGCACTCTGGGGGACTTAGGCAGGTGGATTGGTCAAGGTCAGGAGTTCAAGAGCAGCCTGAGCAGGAGCGAGACCCCGTCACTACTGAAAATAGAAAGAAAATTAATTGGCCAACTAAAATATATAGAAAAAATTAGCCAGGCATGGTGGTGCATGCCTATAGTCCCAGCTACTCGGGAGCCTGAGGCAGAAAGATTGCTTGAGGCCATGAGTTTGAGTTTGCTATGTATGAGCTAAGGTGATGCCATGGCACTCTAGCTCAGGCAACAGAGTGAGTCTGTCTCAAAAACAAAAAAGAAAGAAAAAATATATACATAGTTAGAATATAGCATCCAGAATAGTAATAGGAAGTAGCAGTTTTTCAAATTAAAATTCTATTTACATTTCTGCTTTGAAGGCCAATTAAAAATTATTTGAATGAATTAAATATTGCTAACAAAAATTTAAAAGCACACAGTAAAATTTTCTCCAGAAGT